TGTTTAATTATCATTAAATTATCGGAAATCCGATATTATGTGTATCCTCAATTTTTCAAGTATTATAGCTAATTATCATTGTTGAAACGCCAGTATAGAAACATATTTGTATCTCTATTTACTCATAAAGAGTGAGAGAGACATTGTTATTCGATAGAAGTGGCAGTAGAAACCTACAGTTATTGATCGCCTTGGTATCGTCCAATTTGGATGTCAATGATAAAAATATCGCATCATAATTAAATCATTCCTTTTCTATTTTCGATTTTATTTATCTATGGACGAAGGTCGGCCAGTTTAGCGATTACTTAATAAAAGCTAAATAAGGACAAACCGAATAAATGCCAACCATTCAGTGCTATTCCGTTATTTTTCTGTCCGTAAGTTGCCTGGCATTTATAGTTCAAGATAAATATCTTCCGGAAAGAAGCAAGTAAACTTCGATACAGTAAGACAGGAAAGTTTAAATACACGACCTTTATAAACGATTTTTAATTTTTTACCCATATTCCACTCCGCCTACGATTTATAATCTTTGTTCCGGGCGGTCTTCGATTTTTAATCTTTGACTACCTCTTCATTGGTTTTCCCGCCAAATATTACCGTATTTAGACCTTATGGTGCGAAACTAGTTAAGGTCAAACCAAGGTGATATAGACAATTTATAACATCCTTATACATATTAGTGGCCCATTTTATCCGTTAACTAGTAAAACACGTTCGAAGACGTGTACTATTTGGTATTTGACATAAGGCAAGGTTATAAAAATATCTTTATATCTTTTTCGTGAGTACGTCAAATTTATTTAACCGCTTTAATTATTTTAATGTGATTTATGGTATACGTTTAATACTATCTCATGCAAGGAAAATACCCAGATATTAACATATAGTCTTGCAATTATTATGTAAAGTTGCCAGTTAACATCCGCACGTAGTTAGGCAACAAGAGCACGCGGGTTGCACAATCAGTTCTCCATCAGTTCAGAAATGTGGGGATCATAGATCATAAAACATGGAAATAAATTCACCTTTTTCAATGCCTTTAAAAACGCAAAAAATGTAAAGAAACTATTTCTTACCACGAATATTTACACTCGCCTAATCTTTCGCATTAAATATTACTAACTGGATTAGACTTTGATATAGTAAACGAAATTTCTATAATCTACAGGAAATTGGTACGTAAAATCTAGGGAAGAATGGCGAAATTCCCGTTGCGGCAATACCGTCGAAACCTGATGCTGCAATTGTTACATGCTTTATCCTGATACAATTTAAATTTCGAACACCGAAATCGCAATTCAGCTATGTGCATCCAATTATAATTTTATTAATCTACTAATTTACACTTTAACACCATAGCATAAAGTAGATTATGGCATACAATGTACAATGTTACGCAGACCGTTACTAACTCGTAGTAAAGGATACAATTTCACCATTGACGTGGTTAATTTGATTACAATGAAAGTTGTGTGAACGTGTTGAGGTCGAACTTGTTAATGTAAATATATACTATCTTCAATACTAATATAATAAAGCGTAAACACACACTTTGTTGCCTAAGATATCAGCAATAAAAAGCCCTACACTGGCATCACGCTTTATGCTATATATTTTAACGCCATTAAACTTAGGGGGTAAATATTTTGGATAAAAACCCTAATGTGGGAAAAAGACCATAATCTACAAGCTGGGAACATAAAGGTTGTCATTTTATTTTGACAGTTCACAAATGTAAACAACAAAATAAATATAATTTCATGCGGATGAAGCCGCACGAGAACACCTCGTAAGATGTATTTTATCAAGAGCTGTTTTAAAGAAGAGTTTCCCAAAGTGGGTTTTGCGACCCCATATATAGTATCTAATTCAAATTTGGAGTGTGACGTCATAAAATATGAGTTTGAAGTAAAAATATTGAAAGAAAGTAAGTTTTTTTAAAGAGGGTCTATTACGAATATTTGCGTGACATTTGCGAGAACGCATTCGTAGCGTTTTTCGACAAAAGTGAGATTTGTTTGTGTATAATACGCTCGGTAAGGGTGCACAAATCAAATAAAAGTTTTGTCTACAGCGGTATGGAAACTATCTCATAAAAATCGTAATAAACCCTCAGTATCTTTTTAAAGTTGGTACTTACAAATTTAAATGACGCACGTGTCTCAAGGTGACGGGTGTGCCATGCCATGTTAAGGAATTTTTATTTTTAAATATCTTGCGAACTTAATTTCCTGTTCTTCTCGTCTGTAAAATATCGATATTAATAAAACAAAAGTACGATTTGTTTATATGGAATACTGTTTTATTCATGTTTTCTACTTGTATGTATATAATTTAGAGTGGAATAGTAAACCTAGGATATTTTCATAACATCTTCGACAAAATTTGTGTTAATATGTGTCAAATAAAACTTCGTTAACGTTAGGAATTTTTTCTCGCAACATTCACCCAAATATTCGTAATAAACCCTCTAAATAAATTTAGTGCAATACTAGTCGTGTTGCTTTTCTCATTCGAAGAGAGCGAAAGGGACAACATGTTTAAAATAATTTGAATTGAATTCCTTGCAACGTAAACAAGATGGCCGCCAATCATCGCCTTAAGATAATTATTTCGTCCTTTGAGTAATCGTAATTATTGTATTTTCCTGATAATTATGCAGCCATTAAATGCAATAAACAATGACTATTGTATGCCTTTTATAAAAAGTTAACTTTATTACTGGCTGCACATAAATTTAGCATGTAAATAGGAAATGGAACGTCATATTTCCTATCTGTTAGTCATCCAGAAATTCCCTGTACGCGCCAAGACTGCCTGCTTTTAGCGCCAAAGTTTAATGGTGTTGCCACTTGTCGACTTTATTATGTCTTTTGGTAGAAAATATATAGATACTTAATTATTTGTATAAAATGTTTTTAACATTCATAGTGTAGGGACTATTGCTATTTTAAAAACGCAATTTTAAAAGTAAAGTGGGTTGGGACATGTTTAATCAAATAAATCCTTCGTAAACGAGTGCCTACGACCTCGTGTTGCTTGTGGTATGCATTTAAAGTACATATAACCGCGATGGATAAACAGCGTTATATTTTAAGAACCTTTAGTCATCGTCCAGTTCTTATAGTAAACAAAACAAACTACTAATATATCCATGTTAAGAGTAGTAATTGCGAGTGCCGCCCAACTATTTCGCCTCGTAAAAGGTAGAGTAAAATTTGGAGAACTGATCACTAACTTTCCGCTAGAAGCACCTTAAGAAGAATAATAGTAGCCACCCACCCCCGACCTTTTTTTACGGGTGGGAAATCTTTAAAAAGATACCCCTCATTCTAGAGGGGGGGAAGACAGGGTTATGTGAGGTTTGTACCCACTAAAACCCCCTCCGTGGCCAGCCTCTTGAGCCAAAAAAAAGGGTTCCGGGATGTCCGTGTAACCTACCCCCGACTTAGCTTATATACATCAGCTATAAAAGTCCGTGGAACCATTAGTATTAATCTGGTAGGAAATAAGGTAGTAAATGTTACATTTTGAGTATCGAGAGATAATTCATTATGTAAATATTAATGTGTAAATGTCGCTAAGAGAAGGAGCATCTGTCCTCACTAGAGAATTTATATAAAAAAATCTAATACCATACAAAATCTAGATCTCCTTAGTACTAATCTAGATCATCGATTTGCGACGCCTTTAACTAAAGAAAACAATATTTAATTGAAGAAGTCAATAGAAGTCCTTATTAATGTAACAGACGTTTAATTTATAAATCAGTATCTTTCATAAATAAAATTGAATGAAAAATTGTTACTAGTTTAAGCAACAAGCATGCATTTCCATTGCTGAACGTAATCTGTATTCTTGTCTCTGTTCTTTGTACAGAAAATGAGTGTGATGACAACATATTGGAGTGTTTCGACAAACACAGTAAAGCTCGTTTGGCAATTCATTAATCTCATGTAACATTGCATGACTATTAGTTTGCGTAAAACGAAACTGCAATCGTAAAAGCGCGTTCACACCTGAAACTAAACTATCGCACAACTGTTTAGTCGCGCTTTGATTCCTATAAGCTTATATGGAGGTGCGCACACTACTCGATTGTTTAGTCAAAGATGTGCGCTCGCTTTAAAGCTGTACACATTGTAACGCAATCGAAACAAAGATGTTTTAACAAAGGTGATTTGTTTGACGATACAGTTATATCTTTCGTGTCATTTCATTGCAAACCAGTCTTCGAGACGATGAATGTTGCAATGCTAAATTATTTTGGACAGTAAACCAGTTGCCAGATTAACGCCAGTATTGTTGACCGCTACAGTCCAGTCGTACTGGAGAAGTGTGAACCGAAGTAATTTTTATGCATAATTTTAACGACTTTAATTTTTAGACGAATTTCCAAAATACGGAGATTCTCAAATCGTCTTTTTTTTTATGTGAACCGATTTTAAATTGTCATCCGAAAGATAATGCTTGCAGATGAGTCAAAAAAACGGGAATGCGATAGTTTTTGATTTCGCAAATTAACCTTTCACAAATTCCCATACAACAATACTAGTAAATAAAGACAATAGAAACCTACTTTGGATCGGAAATTCTTCTAACAGGGTCAAGAGTTTTAAAAGGACGCGAGGTTGTTTACTGTTATTTATTAAAATAGTATGCCAAATATTTCGCAAGTAGCGCCATCTCTTTGTAACATTTAGATAAACAACGATAGATCATTTTTTTTTGTTGTCTTAACGAATTGTAGTATGATTCTTATATATAAATGCAAATTCCTCTAATCGATAATAATTAAGAAGTACAGAAAAGTTTTAAGTAAATTAACTAAAGAGATATAAACACTCATACGTTTACTTTAATTAGTTAGTTAAACTTCAACTAGATGGCGTTTTTCTTAACTATAAAACCGTTTTCTGATAATGTGAAAAGTATACAATATTAGACTCGCCACGAATACATTCATAAAATTTAACAATGTGTGTATATTACAGATACCATGACGTCTCCAAATAAACTACAATCGGAGAGAGTGAAACAAATGTTCAGTTGGACAACGGGGTGAGTGCAAACAATTTAAAATTATAATAATGACTTTCACACTAAATTACTACAGAATAAGTGAATTTAACTGTAATTATTTTTTTAATTCAGTAAAGTTCCTGTATTTAATATTAAACTTTAAATATAGCCAAGACTAAGTATAAATTATAGAATTTAGTACATAATACACGAAGGAGATAAACTAACACACCTGACATACAGACATAACATCTTTCGAATGATGTAATGACCGGGGCCGCTGATGCAAGACCAACTTTCGCGACCACCTGAGAACGATAAGTAGACACAATAACCTACTTAAACATTAAAAGCATACACAATGTTGAACTCTATTATTTTTTATTTTTATAAATTTAACAGATTTTTTTAAAATTTTTGACTTGTAATTTTTTATTTTTTAATCCATAATGTTTTAATGCCATCTATTAGTTGTTTTGGAAACTACGCAATGTCCCCAATCAAAGTATCCGCTACCTGTCACAAGATGGCGTTAGCGTTTTTAAAGGAACGGTTAAAATCATAATAAAATATTATTACCGGAAAACTTTACTTTTACTATTATTTTTCATTATAAATTAAGAATACTGCATATTATACACCGTCGATATTAATTTGAATTCTAGTCTAATAAAAAAAATCAATCATTTTGACTTTACCTTATTATGTCAAACTTGTTTTTCTTGTGAAAATAAAAGTTCGAATAATTATTTGGTACGTATAGATTGCTTCAATATTTCAATATAATATTTTTCTATATCTATGTGTGTGGATTTAGTAATTTTCAATACACATCTTGCGTCTTCCTGGAATATTTTTCTTAAACCATAACCTCAAAATACAAACGTTTTTAAACAATTTGATAATAATTACTGTCAACGCCGTCAGTAAAGATCCTTCACCTTACAGATCAAGGTTTTTCTTACGAACTGCGTACGTCTCGTAATAATTAATATAAGTTTCCGCTTAACACGCGAACTAACCTTTGCAACAAATATGTTTGATAATTTAAAGTTAAAAATAAGCGGTTTTTGAAAATACAAGGATGTTATACATACAGGAAAACCAGTTGCAGGCTCGAATTCAGTATTTAATTTTCTAGAAAGTTCTACAGCGCCCCCTGACTGCAAAACTAATATTTTGTACGAAAAAAAATATCTATACAACTTTGTTTAGTCTGATGTGACTAATATGATCTAATTTCGTCCAAAAGCCTTTGGATTACGGTCTATAATCGCTTATAGCTTCGTGATATAACCTATGTTGCCAAACATTTCGCAAAGTCCTGTGGAAAATCCAAAATACCGGATGAATATTTAAAATGCCACTCAATTGTATTGCAATAAAGTGCAATTTTCCTTGTAGTGTGTTATAGTACACTACATTAGTACATTTGGTAGCTTAAAAAGGTAATTAAACTTTAAACTAACGGATTAAGGTAGCAATTTCATTGTTATTAAAAAGTAAATAGTTTCGAAATATAACTGGTGTTATTATTTTGTTTTTATGAAATACTGGCTGTTCCTTTGAAGCTCATTATATTATAAAAAAATATTTTATTTTTTTCATTTCGTAAGACTTTCATTTAAAAATGTCAAAACGCTTAAATGACAACAATCTTGTAATTTTTGTCGCTTTTTCGTGTGGTATTTTTACCAATTTATTTAATTTGTCGATTTCTTTCATTACAAACTAGCAAACTAGCTTTTACCCGCGACTTAGTACGCATGGAATTAAAAAAAAACAAAGTGAATAGCTTATATGTCCAGTCTTCTGTCTATGCGAAATTTCATTAAGATCCGTTCAGCCGTTTAGACTATAAACTATTTAAAATCCATCTAATCTTTCTCTAAGTATAGACTAATTAGGAAAACTAATTAGGTATTTAAATAACTCAAAAACTACTGGCCTAATTTTAAAAATTCTTTCACCATTAGATTTATCTGTGAGTACCATAGACTATATTTTATTGTCACGTGGACGAAGTGAGTAACAGCCAGTTCCAATGTTTTGTTCAAAATTCGAACTTTGGACTTTCACTAGGCCATCTAACCACATGTCTATAAGATTGTTGTGTGTGATTTATTGACGAAGTGGCGTGATTTTTTACAATAATCGTGTGCGATAAAATTGCATTTTATTACAAAGCTGGTTTATTACTTTAAACAAAAAAGGTTCTAACAATTTGTTGTGGTTAATTGTTTGTGTCACGAAGATAAACATGGAAAATTAAATCGTTTATTAGAAATCAATTTTATAACTGTAATTAACAGTCTACTGTGAAACCAAATATTTGCACAATCTATACTATTATAATAAAGCGTAAACACACACTCCTTTGTTGCCTAAGATGTCAGCAATTACAGCATATTTTTGAATAATTATTTTTTTAATAAAAAGCCCCCCACTTACGTTACGCTTTAGGCTATATATTTTGACGATATTCGACTTATGGGGTAAATGTTTTGGATAAAAATCCTAATGTGGGAAAGAGACCGTAAGTTGCTGCCACCATCAAGGAAGCAAGATTGCCAAGATTTGTCATGTCGCCATTTTGACATTTGCTATTGATAATTTGACAAATGTGAACAATGAAATAAAATTTTCATAATTTCGTGCGGATGAAGCCGCACGGGAACGGCTAGTTCTTAATATTACTGTAAACTATTTTGAAATTTGAATTTGAAACACCATTAAATAAAAAAAAATAGTGAAAATGATATTGTAATCAACTGTGTATTAGATTCACTGATCTGTGTAAATGGATAGGCGATTATAACTAATTATAGAATAGGCGATTGTTTTGAAATGGCAGTTTTTACCACTTTGACTAAAACACGCCTATTGTTGATAACAGTAAAGTCTATAAAATATTGTTACTTCCAAACCTCTTCATCACACCCAAACATTCGCACAAAAAGGCCAAAATGAAATAGAAAAAAAACTTTAGTTTATAGGCTGTCATTTCGTAGAGGTCAGTGATTTATGCAGCGCCCCTACCGGGCCTAAAGCACACTAATAAATTTATACTTTGTCGATGACGTCACGGATTGCTTTTCACAACTGTCGTATTAATATTCGTAATAGTCCCTTAGTTTATTACCGCTGGTTTATTCCACTTTTCACGTTCGATGTGAATTAAATTCACGCGTCACGAATAAACAAGCAATACATTTTAGATCAGGTTTTTTAAATTTAAAAACACGTGATCACAATTTTTTATACATAAATCACGTGTCACTACTTCTTCCTGTCCGTTTCATTCATTTACATTTAAAAGATTTGGTCAAATGATTTTAAAATCTTAGTTCAACATCTACACGTTAAACTTATTATTATTATTATGTTTTAATTAAAACTAAATCGGAATTATTATTTCTATGTCAACAATACATTAAATTCTTTTTATTTTCTCTCAAAAAGAAAATGTAATTCAAATAATTCTTATCTCAGGAATATTACAACCAGTGTATGGCAGATTTCGCGCGTAAAATGAAAGGTCAACTGTCAAAAACCACAGACTAACTACACTTAATGAAGGTTGTCACAGACAAAAAATATAATTTTTATTCAAATCATTTACCTTGCCAGCAGTAAGTTGCCTTGTAATTAATAATTACTTTAATACGTAAGACATAATTACGTATAAATATATGTGCTAGTAAAATAAACGGGCCGTAGTCCAAATGGTTCCTTTTTTTACAGTATAAAGTGTCAAATAAGCAAGAGATGATAATTCTCAAAAATAGCAAAGCGACCTCTGCAAATAGACACCAGTATTTTCAGACGTTGCCTACCTGTAATTAACAGAGGTTGGGATGCACAGAAAAGAAATATTTCCCTTCCTATTGTGCAGCTGTCTTAAAATCCATATCATTTCCTCAAAAGATAATGATCGGAAGAGGAGGACTAAAATTAGACCTCCAATGTGCGTGATATCTACACGGAATAAGTTTCACTCGATGCCTGTCTTCTGTGTTGTCGTGGTTTTATTGCGACCTCTATCACTGTTTAGTTTATTTTTAATTGTACACAGTTAAATCGTAACGCGCACATTAAATGTCATTCCAGTTTACTGTTAATGAATGTCAAGACACGGCAAACATTAACAAAAATATTTATCAAACCAGAAATACCGGTCACCTTAATGTCTACCAAAGCCTATAATACGTAAGAATGTAATAAATATTAAATAACACAGGTTTCAACACTCGTAAAATAACGAGACTAGCCTTTGCCTACATCTACGTCCGCGCGGAATTAAAAAAATATTAAGTAGACCGACATAATAACATCCATCCAAACTTCTGCATTTATAATGATTTCTTCAAATTCTCCATTAAATATCTGTAACGTTAAAAATTTACTTATCATAATTTTAAATAAGATATCATATGTCATTTGTTAAATAATTTAATAAGAATAGAACGGGAGGATGGATTTTATTTTTTTCTTAAAAATACGTTCGGTTTAACACAAGAATTATGACAAAGTTTTTTTTTTATAATATAAGGTGGCAAACGAGCAAGCGGCCACCTGAATCCGCCAAAATGGCGAAGCGACCGCTGCCCATAGAAATCCGCGATCGCAGATGCGTTGCCTACCCTTATACGACGGAGGAGGAGACGCACATAAAGAGGATATTTCCCCTTCCTATGCATCTCCGCCGCCAAATCCACTTCCCCTTCCCATCCTCCCCTAATAAGAAGATGGTGGTAAAAAGAAAGGGACTTAAATTAGGCCTCCCGCACCACACTCATCAGACGAAACACGGAACCGATTAGTTTAGTTAGGTTAGGATAGTTCATTTGCAATTTTATCCTATTAAAATATGCTATGTATAGTATTTAAAGAATTGTTTACGATAGATGAAATTAAATGTTAATAATTACATTATTAACACTTGGTTTACATTGTTAACTCGATAATAACCAATCGTGAGTGATGACGTCACTCATACGTCAGAACAAAAAAATGGCGGTAACCCGTGAACTATGTTG